AAAGAAAAAAGAAAAAGAAAGAAATGTTTACATATGTACATACTAAACATCAAATTATAAAATATGGAATGGTGTCATGTTATAGTCGAGCAATCAATTACACTTCTTTATGTTCCAGAGTTTGAATAGTCATTTCCTTCTACTAATGTATACGGCTGTAAGGCAAAAATAAATCTTGAAAGTAACTACAAAGCTGCCATTGAGCTGTCAACAGTAGCATTGTTGAGTTGCTGGACAAGATTGCAAGCACATTACAGTCAAAGAACCAGCTGCTTTAATCTATGTATTGTATGAACTAAAGGAGAACCCAATTATCAGAATGGAAAGCGGTAATTAAATTAAGAATCAAACAAATAGCCGATTAAAATGTCATAAAAAACGAGTGTCATCCAGTATTTTAAGTGCAGATCCTGAAGCTTTACAGAGCATCATCTGAGGGCTGTTTTCTATGTGTATGTGTGTGCTTACCCCTACGACAAACAAATAATCGCACGGTGATTAAAGTCGATTTATGAAGACAGAAAGAAAACACTGAACAATCAGGAAACACCGGGTGTTACTGATGGAGGATGCCAGTTTGCGTGTGTGGCATGGTTCGTGGGAAATTTTAAGGTACAGGAAAAAAAAACAATCCACTGTGAAAAGTTTTTTTTGTATATCCTCTGCTGTTGGTCAGCCGGTTAAAAGAGTCCATGCCCAGCTTCAGGCGAAGATGCATTAATAGTGGATCAATTCGAGGTATCGGAGTGCACGCTCCCAGGTCCTTCTGTCGGAGATATTACAGAAGACGGAGTCGTTGCATCTTGCCATCCTCCATTAGCCTGGGACACAAATGGGAAAGGTAGAGATTACAAACAGGTTCTCTGCAACATGAGCTTGGTATATTTTTATTCCCAAAATGTAACACACGATCCAAAAATGGAAATGAGTCTTATAGTTTCTGGTTGTGTCAGCTGATATTAAAATATCTGACGTGCAATGATGCTGTGTGATTAGTGCGCCATTCTCTGCATTACAGTAGCATCAGCAAAGACGAGAGACTCTTGGAAACAAATTTGTCTCATGTCCCGACCAATGGGAGCAGTCCCTGAAATCAGTGTCTAAGCAGATTCCAGCAGCGGCCGACAGCTTGTCGCTACATATTCTCCTGTCAGTCAAGAAGAGGGAGGGTTCGGGCTGGGTGAGGTGGGGAGAGCTGAGTGAAAGTGACAGGGCAGGGCCTCTCCAAGAGAGCCAGTCTTAGCCAGCCTGCCTTTGCTTTGCTCCAGGCATGACCTAGCCTTTACTGGATCCTTGTACGTCACCACCAACAAAGCTAAAGGTTAGTCTATGCTAATATATCTATAAGGCACTTTCACTGTTGCTGCTTCAAAACAGGAGCTCTGCCACAATTTTACTTATTTAAAACATCTTATTACTGCATTAGTGCTTTGCTCTGACTCTCTGCTGTCATGCGTTGGGGTTGCTCAGTGCCATCAGTTGCTGTTTTAGTGGGGATCATACTGAGCTCTGGTGAGCCAGTAGGCACAGGTCTACACTGCGCATGGAAGTGAGAAACCTTGTGAGAAAGTGAAAAACACTTGATCCTGGTAGGAGCTGACATGTCTAAAGAGCTTATAGCAATAAAGCTTCAGCAAAGCCAAAATGACACCAAAAGCACGCTGGCAACAGCCCCCACCATTTGTTTACATAAAATGTGTTTCTCACAGAAATCATTTTTTTAATTTCCAGTAACGCTGCTGTAAATCTTATACCTTACTTTTTATGCAAAAGCTTTAAATAATATTAGACTGTGATCATGCGTGCATTTCACCCAACAGGCATGAGAATATAAAGAGAGCAAATACTGAGGTTCTGATATAGTGCACAGAGAGTGAGAGAGAGAGCTGTCTGATACTATTTCTCTCTCTCTCCCTCTCTCTTCATCCTCTCTCATCAACAAAATTAATCTTTACTCTGATAGCTTCAGATTATGCGCTGCTTTACAAAAAGGCGCCATATCAAACCTCATCAAGGAAGATGGAATTCATGTCTGGAAAGGGCTGCAGGCGATCACATGTTCATATTTTATCATGAAGATAAGGTTATGGAAAATTCTGTGAAGCATTTCAAAACAGCTAAATGCAACAGATACCGTGCGGCGGAAAGCCTTTTTTCATCTCATTTTTGGTTCGAGTCAGACAAAGTATTAAAAGATGTTTATTGAAGTAAAGCTGGAGATTTTATTCCCCTGCTGCGTAATGTGTTTTATTAAATGCAACTTTTAGTCGTATCAGGTGACAAAGTGACAAGATATGTCTAATATTGTGCGGCACATGCTTTGGGAACGTCTGTCTGCAGTGCAATTTAACGTCCTGTACCTTCATTACATATAATCAAATTATAACTATGCGGCTTATTTTAATGATGAAAAACAACTAATTTCACACTGCCTTTGTCTCAGCAATCTACACGTGTGACAAATGCAACCTCTACTTACATTCAAGCCATGTGGACTATACATCGTGTTCCCCCCGAGAGCATCATTGTATCCTGCCGTCTGACTGATAACATGGCGCAGGGTATCCACCTGAGGGGACAGACAAGGTGGACAAGCTGGTCAACTCGGTGTCTCAAAGCAGGCCACCACTAACTGTAAACATGCTCGGTGAAGCAACAGATACTGACTAGTGTGAAATCACAAAGAGACTCCTGAGACAACCACATTTGTAACACAGCTAATAGATTTTCTAATGAAAAAAAAAAGGGCATACTGACATTACTAGCATGCTCATATCTACTACATTTTCTATAGAGGCTATGGAATATTAAACAAAAGCATAAGTGAAAATAATATAAAAAATGGCTGTTTTTAAATTAGGTTTTATTTTTACCTTAATCATGATTAAGCATAAGTTTTTTTTTTGCATGGTAGCGATTGTGTGGTTCGGTTGTGTAGCTGCATTAAACTTACAAAATGGAAGACATCAACAACACACAATAACAAGATGAGACAGGAAGATAGCAATATAGGATACAGAAAAAAGGGGAAAACACAGTACCAAAAACCCAATACCAACCCAAGAGTTCAAGTCAAAGCCAAATGCATTCACAAAATGTTTGCTTAAGATGTTTTGAATAGTAACCAGTAAATTGCTTTGTGGCATGATAGCAGTGGGGTGGGATTATATTTTGGCTGCCAAAATATTCCATCCAAAGCGAAATAGTCAGTCAACACTTTAGTCAATCGGAGGTTATGGGAGGCCTCGTTGTGGTAATTTGAACTGCCCTCGCATGGGCAGTGTTGTTTTTCTTATTTTCTATTTTTGGTTGTGCTTCAGACTGCACTGTGGATGGCTCAGTACACAGGCAAGACAAGGACAGCTCTCTGCACTGGTAGTCAGGAACTGTCCCTGATTGTTAATCCTACCTGTGACTGTACATTGGCTCCGACTTGTGCCCCTTGGTAAGAATCCCCATTCAGACTCTGCATGCTCAAGAACATGTCCCCAGAGTTTGGGAGGTTAAAAGAACCTGAAGAACCTGGAAAGGGAGGATGTAAGTAGCTGAATACATGAGAAGGCTATAAAGGGAAAGCAAAGACACACACACACACACACACACTCACAAACAACGCAGACACACACACCACGCGCGTGTCTGCATACACAGACCCAACTCAAGCAGAAAAGTACACTGAAGAAAGACTCCCATAAAGCAAGCAACTACAGGGGTGAAGGAAGGAAAGGAAGGGAGGCAAAGAAACAAACAGAAGAGGACGATATGCAGAGGGACTCGAGAGGATCTTTTCACGAATGCGGTGGACACAAATGAAATGAAAATCACATGACACAAGGGGGGGCCGGTTCTATATGCGGTTGGTCGCTTAAGCTCCCAATTGTTCCACATCACCTACTTCCAATCTAACGTTGGCAGGGAGGTATCACATGGTAAATGACAAGGACAATAAGAAGCTTATGAAAAGACCAGTACCAGTAAACATGTTGGTTAAAAGAGTGTTTTTGCTCTCTGCAGAATCCAGCTGAAACTCTTCATCTTTCATCTGGAATCCTGGGTGCAAGAAAAAGGGACCACTTCATAAGCTTACCACATCCCGACGCAGGTCAACCTAGTCCACACTCAGTATTACATTACTCATTAAACCGGACTAAACATGCCCTTTCAGGCTTCCTGTGTTGACTCTTATTCAGTATAATGCCACTTTAATATAATAATATTACTTACTAAAATGCTCCCAGCAATTATGTTTCACTTTATTTAGCAAAAAAAGCACTACCATTCTGAGACTACATACCATTACATTACAAATGACAGGAAGCTGACAGAAAGTCAAGGGAAAACAAATCCCATGGCATCCTTCTGAATTTTTTTTATTTTGCCAAAAATACATGTGTTCTCGGTTCACAAGTCAGGAACGCTCTCTTTATGCATGAGTTTGCTTGGCATCAACTGTCTTATAGACAGGAGACACTGTGATCCCCAAGCTGGGAGCAGGGCCTGTCACTCTTGCCTGTGTGAATCGTGCATGAGAGAGTGAGGCAGGTAGGCAGCAGGTTAAGGGCTGAGGTAGAGGGCAGATCTTTTTTTGTTGTCTATATGCAGGAGTGCCTACCGGAGTTAGGTGTGGTAGGGGAGTTGGCCTGGCTGTTCTGCACTGCAGCGGCTGCAGCGTGTGCCGCATTTACAGCAGTCTTGGCGGCATACAGGTTGGCTTCTTCCTGAAACTTGCCGATATTTTTCTTGTACCGGATCCTTTTGTTGCCAAACCAGTTGGATACCTGTGTGGAAGAGCAGAAGGAGGAGGAGCAGAGGAGTCAGACGTCAAGCAGCCACAGCACCGTGCACTGAGCAGTGTGATTGTTTCAAGATGTCATGTTTGGGTCCATCAAGTACCCAATTCCCAGCCCCTGCAGTAATGTCCGCCGGGTACACAAGCTAATTAAGCCATAATCAGGAGCCACTTGTGTCTTCTCATGGATGGGAGCATGACATGCTCTCAGATCTGTCTCCTGACAAAACTAAAACACAAGGGGCTCCTACTGCAAGTCGATGTATTATATATATTTTCTCATAACAGGGCTGATTGTTAAAGATACAAATCCCTCAGTGAAATATATGAATGTTCATATTTTACCCTCTAAAGAATACTCACTCATTACAGATCAGCGAGTCTGGTGATTGACACCTTATGTAAATACAATAAATTATATATATATTGTTTATTATATGTAAGGCTGCATGTCAAATTAGCATAAAAAAATTAAAACATTGTTTATCAGTGGTTAATGTTCATATTTGACTAAAACTCTTATTAAAGCATACATACCAACTCATAATCTAATTAACAGTCACCCTTAATTAATGGTTGGCTTGGGTAGCTGCACTTAAGTGGTTTAATTTTGAAAATAACAAAACATTAATACAGCAATGACGTGTGTGTGTGTGTGTGTGTGTGTGCATGTGTGTGTGTGTGAATGTGTGAGTGTGTGTGGGTACATGCATGCTCAGTGATTCGGGAAGCAACTTTTGTTTGTAATTATGAAAAACAAGAGTTAGAGGGCAAAGACCCGCAGACACGTGAAGCAGTAAACACAGATTATCGGGGCAGTCAGTGTTAATTGATGTGTTAAAAAACAAACAAAAAAAAGAAATATTTTACCAAAGTAAAATGGAACTCTAATGGCACGAGGAAGCACAGAGTTCAAATTAATGTCTGAAACTGGGTATATTCAGATTTAGAGCAGTTGGAAATGCTAATTTTGTTGAATTGAAAAGATGACATCCAACATCAGTCAGACGCTTAAAAGTTGCATTAGGGGTGAACCTTATGTGTGAATGCTGGCTCTGCAATAACTGTGGAATAATAATGAGATGATGCTTGTTTTTAATGGTTCTATAAATTAAAGTGTCTTGTCGCTGTGCTGCTGCCCCCCTCTCAGGCCCTGCAGCCCACGGCTGGACCAGCCAAAGAGCAGCTGCCCCTAATGACGCTTTATTTAATTTCCACCCATGTGCTTAAATTTTAATATCCCCAGCAGCCCGCCAATGCTGTGGCGTAAAAACTGACTGGATTTGCAGGACATCAGATCATTTCTATCCTGCACGTCTCTGTGCTCTAAATCTTTAATATCTAGGCAATTAAAATTAATGACCATTCAGGCGAGGCCCACTGTTGGCAGGGTTTCCTTGACATCAATTGTTTGATGGGTTTACCTAGAGGTTAAACTAACAAGCAAGGTTTAATTGGAAGCAATGAAAGCCCTGGCCATCATCCTTTTTACTTAACCTGCTTATAGTGGATTGTAGAGCCAAAGACGATGCAATATTCTCGCTCTTTTAGACAGCTCACAGAGTGCCCACAAACCCCAGGAAATCATAGAAAATGTTTTCTAAAGCTCATCAGTCTGTTTAATTTCACAAAATGTTCATGCAAACAGTGTATTAAACAGAACTACATTTATTAAAATGTCAGTTGTGGTGTTTGCACATGAAGACATATTTGTATCATTAAGTCTGAAAGTTGACAGTGGTAGATATACACTAGTTTACTTTTTACCATACAGCAATATGGCAGTAATGCATACAAATTCTGCAGTTTCATATTAAGATGCGATTGTTTCATAACAGAAACAGAAACTTTGATTACTTTAATCTTATATTTTATGATGAAGTGTGCTATGACTGTATTCTACCACTATATGGTGTTACAAGCCTGGACAGCCACAGCAGTGTTGGCATCAAATCCACTGGACGTTACACCACCACATTTCTCTCCTGCCCACTGAACTCTGGCTTTAGTGATTCTCGGGTTCAGCTAAATATTGAACAAATGCACTGCACTGTAAGGTGTGGAGCACAACCCAATCTACAGAACTAATTCCCTTTTATCTTGTGGCAGGCCATGCATTCAATTGACTCCTATGTGTGGTGAGAACCAGGTTGTGAGATTGAATTACCTGACATCAGCAGCCTCAAAGGCAGCGATTGTATAATGACCATGCAGACTCCTTGCAAGAACACGATACCGCTGCCTTCATTGCTGCCCACTAGAGAGGCTGTGGTGCTGTAGTTAATAATTCAAACAATTTCACCCTATTTCAGGTCAATACTCCTCGCTAGTCAATGTGAAGCAACGCATGATCTGTCTATGATCTCAATATATCTGAGGTTACAATGCACTAAGCCTTAAATACAAACAGGAAGGTGGGCTCACTAGCTGTCATACCATCAATTATACAGGCCACATTAATAATGAAAAGTCTTAGCTTCTCTACATTCACTATGAAATATTGAAAAGTGTCACTCAGAAGAAAAATGTAAGCAATGTGAAGGAATCATTGCACTGGAATCTGCCTTAAATGCCGAACCATTAACACACGTTATATCAAATACAGCCTCTTAATCCTGACATAGACCACAGCCATCCAATCCCATGCCTTCATTCAAGAGTCCAGCACAGCGCATGCAAAGTGACAAAGGGAATGAGACGGCATCCTGCATTTAGAGTCACTTATGTAATCCTTACAATGTCAATAGCTCTTTGTGCTTAAGCAGGAAACAAGCAGCATTGAGTATTAACCAAATCAGACACATTGACATAGTAAGACAATGTATACATTCAAGATTTTTTGTTTGTTCAAGGTTATCACTGCAGTGTTTCGTTTTGAATAAAATACTTGATTTGAACTGCGGGAACCCTCTGATCTAAAGAGGTTTCGCTCTCAGGGAAGACGACCGTGCATCACTTGCATTTTAAATGACCCCTGTTAAAATGATGCAGGGTGTTTCGTCAGCGATGATGTATTGAGCCAAGCTGCGGACCGATATTGGCATACCATTCACGACGGATGGTTTTTGCTTAATGAACTGCTTGTGCAATCAACAAAGCCCACAAAAAGAATTTTGTGGGTGTCTGAAAAATTACTTCGCCGAGCCCTCAGCGTAGCCACAGCGAGCGGTTTGTGACTCTGAGCGGCCGGGGCACGGTGAGGGATAACACACTTACGGTGCACTCGGCATCATGTCGAGCCTCCGACTTTGTTACTCACTTAAAATGAGCCAAAGCACTAAGAATAAGTCAATAAGAATGTCTGCCGTGGCCTCCGCTTGTCGAAGAGTACGCCACTAATGGGGCCTGAGATGAGTTCAAGTGAATTTTTAAAAGCCCTCTAATTTCTGCACAGACTGATTTGTTCTCATGGGAACTGGTACAGTGGCCTGTTTTGCGAGGCACTCAGAAAACAGAGTGGCGCTCCATTTGTGAGGGTCGGTGGCCATTTCTTTAACCGCTATAAAGAACACAGTGTTCACGGGGCGGGTTGCAGGGGGTAGATTAACTCAGAGCGCAGTTTGAAGATTCAAAAGACCACACAATTAGTCGACACTCTACAACAAACAAAAAAATAAAATAATGTGGTAAACAATAGCCAAAAAGTAAAACTTCATGTGACACATTTGTACACACATAATATGGTGATAACATGGGTGTAGCTTAAAAGTATGAATCAATCAAAATTAGTCTGTTCTTTTGTGACTCAAAGGTGGGATGTAAATGCGTACAAAGTCTTATCCACTTTCTTTAAAATGTAAATTCACACTTTAAATACGGCAATTCATGGTAACATTAGCATTGATCCAGTAGTGTGAGGGAGGGAGGTTCTGTGCAGTGGAAAACTGTGAGGCTATTACATACATAAACAAAGGAGGTACAAAAAATGAAAACAGTGGATCAGGAGAAGTTATGACATACCTGTGATACTGTGATGGTGCTTCCCACCCCCTGAAGGCAAAAAAGAATGGGCTTTTACAGTATCTGACTCTTCATGACTACACTCAATATACCCCTCAACACCCCCTCCCCACACAGAAAAAAACACTGCAGATTATTGTATAGATTCATGTTTCTCTGATATTGGGTCTCATGAGGACAACCATAGAACAATAGAGTATCAAAAAATCTAGATAGTAGTCACAGTCATAGCAGAAAAAGAGAGCACATGATAATAATACTTTGGATGTGGGGGTTAGGTGTGAGAGATATTGCCTTCAGGTTTACCCAATAAGTAGACTATGCTATATATAAAGTTGTATCTTTAAAATATAACTGTGAATTAGCAGAGTCCTGCAAGGTCACTTGAACAGCAATCATACAAATAAATATCCAGCATCACCTGGTGTTCTGAAGCACCAGACTTTAACTGCTTTTCTTAAAGTAATGGATGATGCCATTTTTCTTCCCAGCTTATGACCTGAGCGACTGACCAGGCAACAGAGAGAGCACACATGGTGGATGGGAATGAGAGGGGAAAATGGCAGGGGACACAGCATTGGGGCGACTAAGGAAGGACAGCATAGTGCTTTGATTGAGGCCAAGATGATATAGGCCTCCCCTCCCTGTGGCCCTGCTCTGACTGACTGGGACCAGCCTTGACTGAAGCATCATTAGGCAGCCACAATGTCAAGGTTAGCTAAGGACATTGTGTCTTGGTGGTGTGACCTACGGTAACTATCCCTCTAGGCTTTAGCCTTCCCCACCCTGATTACCCACCAGTTACTGTTAGATGAACACTACCCACCTGGGAAACTGTGATGCTGCACTTCTTGGCCAGCTCCTCTTTAGCCTCCTCGCTCGGGTACGGGTTGCTGAGGTGCGAGTAGAAATATTCGTTCAAAATTTCCGTCGCCTGCTTGCTGAAGTTTCTCCTTTTCCGCCTGAGTGGGGAGCAAAGCGAGAGAAAGGCCGAGCAAGCCTATTAGTGGGACCGGCATTAACTCATCCATTTGGATCGCACAAATTGCACAATCAATCTCACACATAAATGGTGAAAATAATGAGGAATGGGCTCTAAGGGCCCTCAGGAGCAGAATATCGTGTCCTGCTCCAAGAGTCTCGTCAACACACAGAAGACCAGACTCCAACCAATAAACTGACAAGCGCGCACACACACACACACAAACAAACACAGTCACAAAACACATACAATGTTTAATTTGGTCTGTTGGTCTCCAATCTCCAGTCCAAGCGTGTAATGTGTAGAGTTTAGTGCAGCGGATGGGTGGGCTTTGTGATGGAGCGCAAAGCCCAGTCGGAGTGCATCTCGGTACATTATAGAAATCACGGCATGCACAGTTGAGCATTGTTCCTGAAGTGCCACAGCCCCAGGGATCTCCAGTAGAAACAAGCAAACTCTAACTAGATCTGGGTCCCCTGCCCTCCCAAGGGCACTACTTATCATGTTGTTGAGCATTTGCTTATTTTGCCTTGTTTACTGCGCTTCACACAGGCAGTGGGCAGCAAATGTGCTTCCACTTGGCTTGTTTTGCCCGAACTTGTACCGCTCTCCGCAGAGCTCCACACTGCACCACACTGTTAGTGATTAGAGTAATCCACAACACCTGCTGATGACCTCCCCTCCATCCATTACACATGACTCGGCCCCCATTTCATTTGGTCTTAACTGCTCTCAGGTGCGGGGGCATGATTGTCTTGAAAATGGATAATGCATGGAACATGGACACAATTAAAATCATGCATCTCCACAGCGCTCATACTGTGTGCTGTGCCAGAAAAGTAGCGGAAAAAACTAACTTCAGACCTGCACACAGTCTAAAAATGACCTCGCTCGCTGGATTTACTTATATGGGTCATACGGAAGCAATAAAAGTTTCTAGATCCCAAATACCCACACACACACACACACACATATAAACATGTACTACACACACAATCCACTGACCTGGCATCAAGGAATCTGGAGCGCAGGATCATGACAGCCTCACAGGTGCTCTGTTTCAGTTGCATCTGGATGGAGCTGAACTTACGGTGGATGATTCCCACCATGCGCTCAATCTCTTTGGGAGAGATGGGCCGCGTGCGAGACTGTTCCCTCAGCAGGTTCATCACATGGGTAGTGAATTCGTTACATGCCTGCCAAGTGTCACAGAGACAAAAAACAACCAAAGTGAGTTCTGCAAATGTCCCAAATCACAGCAGTGAGCTTTTTACGAGTCACAAAAGCTCTGACTGATATTCTAAAGTTGTATAGATTTTTCATATAAAAAACCATCTATTACATGCAAGCTCTTTTTGTTAAAAGCTTCCACAGAGTGCACAGTTTATATATTACTTTGATGACATAATAGGTGAAGTCATCTTTGAATATAAATGCAGATTTGCAATTTGGCTTGGCCCTAATGCAGAGCGAATTTAAACAGCTTTTCGTTAAACCAGTAGTTCATACATGATTAATTAGAATAACTCATTTACGTAGTGCACACTTTAGCTCATTACTCTGAGTAAAATTCGTTAAGTATTTACATTTAGATAATTAAAACCTGGAAACACCCTTAAGAAAGATGCATTTACTCCAGGCGAAGTGTTGTGTGCCCCCGCATACCCACCTCCTCTCTCAGAGAGCACGGAGTAAATTAGTCTAATTTACCTCACTGGCTTGCTGAGGCATCACTGTTACACCTTCTATTTTCACCCATAATGCCTCTGTGTTTAATGGCAGGCTCAAAGTGCTAGGTGAAGGAGCTGATCATACTTTCATTTAACACAGATGACTAAGGCGCTCCTTTGGATCTCTATAATCAACTACGACACAGTGAATAATACTGCAATTTTTTCCAAGCTGATAACACATTCTCACCGATCATGCATATTCTCGGTAATTTTCTTGCTAATGCAGAGAATAAGCTGTTCTGGGTGTTCTGAAGTGATGTGATGTATGAGGTACAACTCAATAGGTGCACTTGAACACAAACTGAAATAGCTTGCAGAGACGTGGTTGTTTAAACCTTTTGATGGTGAAAAAAGAACAGAATTTACGTTATTCTCCATTTCTTGGCCGTAGAGCAGAAGTGCATAAGGGGGTGTCATATTTCCACATCTTAACCTTGGGATGGCAAAGAGTCCCCCTCACCTGTTCATATTTCTCCAGCTCTGTGTGGTAGATCTGTCTGATCTGGGTGAGTTTGGCTCTGTAGTCGGAATGTTCGATGGAATTGTCGCCCGCCCCGCCCGAGGCAGCGGCTGCAGCTGCGGCGGCGGCAGATCCGCCACCTTTTTCTGGTCCCGCCACGCCCTCTGCCAGCAGCATGTTGTCTAAACGCATGAGCTGGGGGTCTGGGGGGTCCTCCTCCTGGGCACCACGGATGCTGAGACCTGAAGCAACACACAAACAGGAACGGAGGGTTAGCTGATGCCATCCAGGGATGGGGGAAAAAATCCTCATAATAATGAAAAATAAAACAGATCAGATAGGTCCAGACGGAATTGTTAAGTGCAATTAAAACCATTATGTCTGTGTAGTCTGCTAAAGTGTGATGTTTCCCCTGCAGGTATGAACTGGGTGCCTCCTGTGCATGCACTGTGTTCCTGTCGCCCGTGTCTATGCCTGTTCTCTTTTATTTACACACTGCGCTGCACACTGTGTGTACGGGAAGGCTGACATGACAGCAACATCCATAAACTGACAAATGCTCAATGGTGAAGTGGCACTTCTACTCTGTGAAAGGATGCTAAACAGAAAACTATACCTCTAGTAAGTGTCTCTGTCTTTGACACAGTGAATGCTGGGAGCTCTGAAAAGTAACTACTGTTTTCCTCATTTCTATTCGCTTATAAGGTCTGAATCTTTTATTATTATTATACAATCCTGACTTTGCACTGTTCTAAGAGGGGATAAAAATGTGCTGGTGCAATAGGAATCTACATATGGAATAATGAGTGCACACACAGTCGATTTTATGTAAAGTGTTCATTCAGGAATTCTGCTGTTGCTCTCAGACCCTGCTGTTTATTTCCTCTGGTTTTCTGTCTCGCCAGTCTGTTGGCAAGTCGTAATCACCCAGCAGATAGCACACATGCACACCTTGATGCATTGGCAGTGCGACCACAATGTCAGGCTTTACAAAGAATAAACAAACAAAAAAACACTGTGGGTCAGAATTACAACAAAAACAAGCTCGAGCAATCCAGTCTAATAAGTGGATAAAAATGTGGCTCAATGGGCAGTAAATACTGAGTGGCTACTCGAACGTTATGATTACCAGAGTTGTTTCAATTCAATAATCCCTCCTGCAATTCAGGGATTTTCAACAGCTCATTACAGCTTCATTAAGATATGGCCAGCCTCTGGATTCTAAATAAGAAGATTAGTGGCTCTATTGTGTCAGCCAGTAGGCATGCAATCAGAGGAGCCCCTTTACCATGCTTTGACCGACTGACCCTGCACACCATCCACAGGAGTAAATAAATACTGGAGAGAAAATACTCCAGTCTTTCTTATAAACACATTCCTGAATAAAAAAAAATTAGGAAACACATCATATTGTAGCCAGTGTGATGTTTTCTTCCCTGTTGCTGTTTTGTTCGGCTGCAGTGCCACTGAAAAACAAATTTGCCTCTATTTATGGATCGGCTGGCTTTGAGTCTTTTAGGTGTAATGGTGTGAGAGGAGTGGATGAATGTGGCTATTTGTGTTGGAGACATTGAGATGCTGGACAAGGCTCCATCAGGCTCGCAGAGCCAAGCCATCCATGTGGACAATATGCCGCTGCTCCACTAACCCTCATCCACATCACACTGCATCTGCACAACTCCACCCAAAGCTCTCGTTCTGGACAGGCTCGACTGTTTCTATTCCAGTTTGTGCAGCATGAAGCGAAATGGCACATGATTCAAATGTTGACTGACCAGATGCCTGGCTACATATCTCAACATGCTCTAATAGCTGGTGGTTTGTCTGCCACTACAGTTCATATTTTCCTAATTCAGTATTTACTCCCACTCTCTGATTCAACACAAGCTCAGCAGGCTGCTCTTTCCTTTGTGCTGCGGGTGGTGGTAAGTAGGTAGGCATGTTTTTCATGTCAGGTATATTAAATATAACTCTGGGACGCCGCGTACATTTCCACACCAAACCCAGTTGTCACTTTCACTCCACTCACTCTATATCCAGGGGAAACGCAGCTGGGGGAATTTACAGGGCTTTTCAGCTAAATGGGCATAAATCACTGGTTTCATTTAAACTAAATAATCACAGGCCATAAACAGCTACTAGTCTCTTACCATATATTACCACAAAGTTCCTGTGTGCAATAATGTGGCCATTCACGGCAAAGGAAAACAGAGCGAGACATTAGAAAGTGACATGTAATCCTGTTAGTCCACTGACATGTGGAGTGGCCGTGACATTTTTATCATACGTGTCCATTTCTATTTGGGAAATCAGCGGGATAAAAATGATTACTGTGCTGCCCAGAGAAGCATGCGGCCCTGCAGGAGCCCACCAGGGTGTATTTGTGCCACAGCAGCTACGGCTGGCCATTCATAACACACATGTTGAGAGGGATGGTGCGTCCGTCTCAAGCACATAAATACTAACAATTTAAAAAAATAAGAAAACCCACAGAAGAAAAAAAAATTAAAAACAGGTGCAATGCATCTCTGTCTCGCTGTCTTGTTCCGTGCACCTTTTGTTGGAAGAGCTAAAGATTGCGGACTCACTGTCTGAGCTCAGCATCATCACACAACTTCCACAAAAATAGGCTCCAGCAAGATAATATCTTTAATTTGCTGTGTGGTTGACAAATCTGTATAGTAACTTGCAAAGCCACAGTCACATTCTAGCACTGAAATGCTGCTCGCCTGCTCAAATCCTTATCCTGTTTTTGTCTGATGATATGGGTATTAAAACAAGTTTGGGCACCCGAGTTTAGCTCTAATCCACCTCCACAGTCAAAGTGGGATTAATCTCAGTGCAAAGGGAAAGTGCGGGAGTCGTGTCACCTTGGTAAAAGCCTGCGAGCAATGGGAACTTAAGAATGAAAAATCTATATGTGGTCTAGTTATTTCACATAACTCTGATGATGCTGGCTCACTTAATTACCAGAACCAATTTAATGATGTAAAAGAAAAATCTGAAATTGTAATAATAATGTAACATGTCCTTAATCTGCCTCATTTGTCATTCAACAATACAGGTGGGGTAGCTGGTGAAAAAGCACTTGCCTATATGATTGTTCCTCATTTCTCCTCTGTGACTGAGACAAAAGGAGACACTGTGATTAATCCATCCCTATCAGTCAGGGGTGGTTCTTCTTTTCATTTTTTACAGGTTTCACCATTGGTATCAGATCCGAGGAAGTAACAAATTTGACAGATAAAGACAATGCAGCCCTTTTCTCTCATATACTCTCCCCTGTTCTCTGTTTATAATCATTTCCGGTCCTGGCCTGTTGTCTCGTACATCATTCCCTGCTTGAAGCCCTGACAGTGATCTGAGCACTGCCTCGGGCCGCTCTCCTTTCCTCCCACCTCTTTCCCCCCTGTGCCCTCTTTTATTCTGTGGGCTTAGCTGACCTTTGGCCCGCTGCTTGTTTACTCTCATCACTGAAGTGTGAGCAGGAGAGCCATAAAGGCAGAGCCCTGCTGGGTTAATGTGGCCTGCTGAAGAGGGAAGGGGTGGCTCTGGGCTTCTCCACCTCATTCTGCTGCACTGACTGCACTGTCAGACGCCAGACAATACACTGGAAGAGTAGCGCTTCTTGCAGATAAAGCCAGGGATTTTTCTTTTAATGTAATGGTTTTTTTGTTGCAGTAACTTTTTTCTGGGATAATGAAATGCTCTTGTGCTGCTTGCAGAATGTGCATTGCTGGAAAGCGGCACTGCCTGCGTGTTTAACTGCGTTTGACGGTGCACACTGCCACTCTGTTACTTCCACCACTGTTTCCCAAACATCCTGTTCATTACAAGTAAGCCTGACCTCCTGCAGCTCCTCTCCTCGCCAATGCCTCCAGTGAACAGCCGCAGCCATGTATCGACACTCTGTTCATCTAATTGCATTGATCCGCAAAGGTCTCCCAAAGCTAACTAATCGAAACAGAATTTATTTTCTGTCAATATTTGCAAAGGTCATCTCTCTTAAAGCCGTGGAGTAGTCTGTGTGAGCAGAGAGGCGGCGCAGAGGAGGAGGAGGAGGACCATGGCATCTAGCCTGTTACTGAGGCTCGTCCAAGGTGAGCTTTAACTCTGGCTTGGCACTCAGGATCCAAGGCTTCTAATCCACCGTGTTATTAAAACCCGCTGCCAAAGCAACACACTAGAGACTACAGAGGGCTTAGAGTATCCATTTCACAAAGAGGCCAGTGTCACTACAGCCGCGTTCCACATCTCCTTTGACTTCATATCATCTCCTTTGTCGTGGCGCCTGGATCAGTGACTTTCAGCTCCAGAAGCAGGGAGCTGGATCAAATTACCATTGAAAATCTTTTGTTCTGACAAATGAAACATAAGGATCCTCTTTCATCGATGTTCTTAAAGGCTTTTTTAAGCTTGGCCTACATCCACATGGCACAAAGAATCTGAGAGAATGCCTGCGGGCTCTCTCTAGCATGTACAGTAATTAACATGCCATTAACACATTAATACACATTAACTATTCCCAATGTTAATGGCAGAGTAATTACCATACCTGATACCACACTGTGGGGAAGCCAAAGCACATTTGCCACTTTGTGTTTCACTTTCTTTGTTGAGTGAGAAGAAGAATTTGGGAAGATTCTTCTTTCCTCCACACAGAAAATATAAGTACTATGTGTGTGTATGCAATGTAGAGTGGCCTATCTGACCCAAAAAGTGAGAAGTACTTTACCACACATACTGTAGTGGTTCTGATTTCACTAAAAAAACACACCTGAGAGGAAGAAAGTTCTCACTGTAAACCTCTAAGGATTGTTTTTAGAGGTGAGGCTGAAATACTGGAGGGGACAGAGAGTCTAGTGATTAAATGCGGAGCAAAAGGAAGCAGGGAACAGTTCCTAAACTGGGGAATCCCTGTCTAGAATGATGATGTATTTCCTCCCAGTGCGGTGAGTGATAAGCTAATCAGCCACGCTGACAGTGAAGTGTTACAGCCCCTCAGTGCTGGGTCAAGACTTCTCCCATCATATACCACCAGCACACACTAAACAGACAGCGCACTCCTGTGTTATTAAAGCAGCCACAAAAAAGTGGCTCCGGTCAGAAAAGAAGATCTCTGTCAGTTCAGGTAGCCTTTGTCCCTCGATGATGATCAGCCAGCCCCAACCACCAACCACCCCCCACCCTACCCCACCCCTCGTCCCAAAAGAGGGGGAGGCTGTGACAGCGGG